TTTTTGATAGACAGTGGCATATTAGGGTGCTAAGAAGCCCAGGCCAGAGTGGTAGGGACGTTATCCATGGGGATGGCAGTGTCTCTGTGATGTTCACAATAATGAATAACTCAGAAATGAGTAAGTTGTGCCTGGTGATGCAACAATCAATTTGCTTCATCTTTGAAGCCATCCATTCATCACTGACTGCTGCTGCTCACAGGCACTTTATTGGCACCAACACAGCAAGTGCAGGCAGCTCCCTCGGTACCCACTGAGGAACAGCCCAAGAAAGGGGCTTCCTCCTGGTTGAGGGTCACTTCAGCATCAAGCATCTGGAAATCACAGCCTGGTCGAGGGCAGGAGGGCAGAAGAAAGAAGAGGGGGGGAAAACAGACAAAGTTCCCATGGCACCTCCTGCACTGAATGTCAAGAAGAGCAGGCATGTGTGTCCCCACCAGCATGGTGCCCATGGGGACTAGCCCAGCACACCTCCTGAGCCTCAGTGATGCTCACCTGCAGCAGATAAGGTGCAGGGCAGATGAGCTGTGCTACTGTTGCTACTGCAGTGCGGCCACGGCAAAGCTGCTTCCCCTCCCTTGGCCCAGATTCCCTTTGCCTTTCTCATCCACTTCACCTTTCATCCTCCTTCACTTCCAGGGAGTCTCACACTGCTGTGCTCAGCACCCGCTTGTAAAACCACAAGTGTCCAGATCACTGCAAAACAACACTGCAAACCTCAGTAAGACATGGCATGGCAGGGCCAAGCCAGTGAAAGCCACAGGCAAGGAGCAAAATCCCAGTTCCTATCCTCGACATGAGACAGGATGCATACAGACATAGATGGGATGCATCCTTGATATGAGACAGGATGCATACAGACACAGAATTGGGGAGCAGAGAGCTCTGCCACCGAGAGAACTGGAAATAAAATAACAAACGAATATAAAACCCCATAAAAAGAAATCCAGTTGATTGTACATTGTTTTGAGCAAAGGGGCTCACTTGGGAGCAAAACGAAGATGAATCGACAGCGAGTTCAAGAGAATTCATTCTGCCGCTGAACACTTCTCTCTCCATCAGGACATCTCAAAGGCTTGTCAAGCAAAGGCAAGGCTTTTATTTGTTTCTATGGTTGCCATAACGATAGAGCTATATGTCATGTCAGGCAGCAGCTGAGACTCGTGCCTCTGATTTATAGCTGCTCACCAGGAACTAGCAACTTCTTCTGCAGAGAGGGTGGCACCGTGAACCAGGACCACAGGCATTTGCTAGAACCACTCTCTCCTCTCAGCCCCCAGCAGCCAGCTCCACCTCAAGGGATGCTTCTATTACCCCTTAGAGAGATGCTTCTATTACCCCCCACAGGGATGCTTTCACTATCCCCTGCAGAAATGTTTCTATTATCCCCCTGCAGGGATGCTTTTACTATCCCCTGCAGGGATGCTCGGTGCTGGCAGTGGTGGGACTCAAGGGTGCAGGTCCTACCTATGAGCTGAACAGTGTAAACTACCACAATTAGAGTGATTCTTAGTCCCATGGGACAAGTGGTACCTCCTAAAGTGCCAAAGAGAGACAGCAGACAGTCCAGGGAAGGCCAGCAGGTAGGATTAAACACCTCACAGCAATTTGTTTAAAAAAATACATGGATTATTGTGTTTACCACCAGATGTGGGAGAAATACAGATAAGAGAGAAGGATGGGAAAAATAAGGAATAGGAAACAAAGAGGGATCTTGAAAACAAGCGAGAAAAGGTAGCAATTGGAGGTATTTCTTGTTCTGGCAGGGGATGTGTAGCTGGGACAGGCTGCCCAACCTGGGACCTGGGCTCCAGCCCAGACCAGAGGCTCCCCAGCATGGGGAGAGCCCTGCAGCACTGCTGGCCAGCACCATATGAACAAAGACATCACCATTAGCATAGCTGCCATGATCCCAGATGTGTGACTGACATGATCACTGTGTGGAGGATCAGAGTCTGGGGTCGAGGAGGGGATGGAGGGGATGCTCTCTATGGTTACTGATCAATTATACATACAAGTTTCATTGACTCTAAGCACTCTCGTGCTTAATTTATGACGCACAGCCCTAAAATCTCCATCACCAAGCTCTGAATGCAAAGTCCCATCCCACTCAAGCCCCAGCACATGCGGGAGCATCCCTGATGGGATGTTTGCAGTAGACCTTTGGCTCCTGTCTGTAGGAAGTTTCTCTAATGACTTGGCTGCAGCAGCAGGAGGAAGCTTGGGCCCTTCATTCCCATCCACCATGGCACTGGTACAGCTTGTTGCACTGCTCAGCAGTGAAACACACAGAGAACAGCATCATGCGGAACAGCATCCCTTCAGGGAAGCAGCAGGAGTCAGCGCTTCTCCAGAGAGATGCGGAAAGGCAAAACCCCACCTGCCCCTTCCACAGCATCAAGCACCTTCATAAAAACACAAGACCACGTTTGAACCTTTAACCCTCTGAGTTGTAAAGACTTCATCACTTGTTTTCTCCAACCCAGGCTTTCTGCAATTTCCCTCCATTAAACTCATCAAGACAAGTGACCCTGGTGCCAAGAGGTGTCGGATTAATGAAAGGTCTGGAGGAATGCAGCACGCTTGTTATTAGAGACACAGAAGCAATACAGGATTGAGCTGCCATCACATCAGCACAGGACAGCAAACAGGGCACTTGAGGTGCTGAGATGTGGCTGTGTTGAAGCTGGTGTAATACAGCCGAAGAGCTGCCCCTTGGCATGGGGATGTGTTAGAGCTCATGAGAACAGCAATTGCTCAGCTGCCAAACTTGTGGCTGTTGCTGGATCTAACAGCCAGGTCCAAACTCACATCACTGCGTTCCTAAGAGGTTTGATCATTCCCTGGGCAGTTCTATGGCCCAGCATCAAGACCTCAAAAACGCTGCCAGAATGGAAGGACAGACAGCAGGACAGCCCTGGGAAGAGGTCCCCCCATGCAGGGGGTTGGCTGTGTTTGAGCACCTACCTAACAGACAGCATGTGTTCACCACCTCTGATGGTAGGTCTGACATTATGGAATCATCATCTGGATGTCTGAACCACCAAAACTTCTATATTAATACTCCCTTGAGAAGCTACCAAGAGTTGTCTCAGTCCAGAGGGGACAAAGTGAAGAGGCTGCAAGATAAACAGCTCTTCACTGTTTGTCTACGTACCCTAAAAGTACCTTTCCCACTGTGTGAAAGCCAATACGATGTCTATGAGCACCAAACACAGCAACGTCCCTGCTCACCACCTGCAGTGGACCTGAACAGGCAGTACCACCCTGATTTCCACTCATCCCAGAGTGCACCAGACCCCAAACTTACAGCCTGATCCCTGCTTAATTTCTAATGCAGAAATAACAGATTGCCTTTCAGTTTTCACTGTATCTGCGAACCCTTCCATAATTCAACATCAAATATTTAGTATTACGTTTATTAAGGTTTTAATAATTCAGCATCTCCTGTATTGAAGATACAAGAGCCATGAACTTGCCTCCCTTATTCTACCTGGGTCACTCCAATATTTATACCTGGAATTCTCAGCTCAGATTCCATTCAGGAGGGGAGCAGGCACCAGCCTCCATGCCAGAAACATCCCTCCTCTGCTTGGCATTCATCCATCCCAATCGAGACAAGAGGATTGGTGCTATGACACAATCACCGTGCTGGAGCAGAAAGCAAGCTTCCCAGCCTCTACTTTTACTACTTTAAATGAAGATGTGAGGAGGCAAGAAAGAAATAATGTTCTCCTGGTATTTTGGCTTAGGAAATGTTAACATAAAGGAAGGGGACCCATCACCTTCTCAAATGGAAAGCAATAGTTTTCCACAGACAACAAAAACAACACTCCGAAGAGAGCCAAACTGTGATAGATACGTACCATCAGTCTCTTTCTGCAGCACTAATTGGCCACAAAAACATCCTTGGAAGTGAAGACCTTTTGGATGCTAGCCCTGGCTCTGCCATAGCTTTTGTGAGCACTTGTTCCAGCCATAGCCCTGCCAAGATGAAGGGACAGAATGGAAATCCACCATCCCATCGCTCTGGGAAAAGACAGAAGAGGCTGGGGGATATAAGGATCCTGCTAGTGCCCAGGGAGATGATTTATAACACAGACAAGGATTTGCTGGTCTGGAAATTGTGTCTTGAGTCAATGGGAGAAGACAGAGAGAAGGAAAAGAGGGATGGAGGGATCACGGATTGTCCCTGACACCCCGCAGTCACATCCTCAATTTAATGAGGGAAAGGCAATACACCTAAGTATCTTAGGAATTTAATCCATGTAGTTTACAGTTAAACTCTTGTAAACTAGACAGAGGAGGACAATCACCACCACCACAGTCCTCTGAGGCAGAGTGTGCTGCTCCTTTCCAGATAGGGCCACAAACACAACAGTTTTGCCTGGCTCCTTTTCCAAGGGATCCCCCGTTTCCCAGCCTCCTTTCACCAGGGCAATTCTCCTCCTTCAATACCCTCTTAGGTCCTACTTCCAAACCAGACTGTCAAGTCCAATGCATGTAGTTAAAATACAAGCCAGCCAAAATGGGGGAGCCAGAGAAGAGAAAAACCCCTCTGACTGTATAACAATTGGATGAACAACATGACTTTTCACCAGGCTCTGACTTCGGCTCTTCACAAGCACCACGAGAGACTACCAAGGGTTGGGTAGATGTGATAGACGTATGAGTTTCTGAAAGATGATAGCATCTCTATACTGGTAAATGCATCAATTTAAGCTATCCAATCTGACATTAGATTTAAGTCACTTCAAAACCGCCTTGCTATGAGTTCATACCAATCTACCTGCCTGGATTGACAGACTTCAGAGCTATACGCACAGACCTAACCTAGACCCATCAGGACCAAAAGAGCCTAGAGAGCTATCACATCACATTTCTTATTGGAACAAAATTAATCAGGCTTATCATCATGGAAATTGCTGCCTCCTCAATAACGACGTAAAGAGCAGTGTAGTGACTCAAGCATGAGGAAAAGGAGGAAATCTGCTTCCTACCTGACATCTGCTGGATCTTCCGTCACCAGAACATCTGTCTTGCAGCTGGCGAGAGGGTTGATGGAAAGCTCCACAGGGGGCACCACAAAGCTCTTACTGACAGGCAGCCACAGGCCTTGACCCAAACTATAGGTGGACCTGGAATAAGGACAAATGTGTCACATAAGAACAGAATGTCCACAGCAATTGGTGGCCACTCTTCTGCACCTGACTTGAAAGTAGAGAAGTGGTGACACCATGGTGTTAGTCATTTGGTCTGTCCTGAAAGACAAATGAGACAGGCTGAGAGAGCTGGGCTTGTTCAACCTGGAGAAGAGAAAGTGCCACAGACACCTTATAGCAGCTTTTAGTGCCTAAAGGGATGACAAGAAACCCGGAGAGGGGCTTTGGACAAGGGTCTGTAGGGACAGGACAAGGGGAATGGCCATAAGCTGAAAGAGGGGAGAAGTTCTTCTGTGAGAGTGCTGACGCACTGGCAGAGGGTGCCCAGAGAAGCTGTGGCTGCCCCATCCCTGGCAGTGTTCAAGGCCAGGTTGGACACAGGGGCTTGGAGCAACCTGCTCTAGTGGAAGGTGTCCCTGCCCGTGGCAGGGGTTGGAACTGGATGAGTTTTAGGGTCCCTTCCAACCCAAACCAGTCTGGGATTCTATGTTCTGTGAATAGCTAGAGATGTGACAGGGAGAACATGGGGATGGTCAAACTCTTCATTTCAGTCCAGGGGGACTTTCTGTGCACGCTGTCCTCACTGTTGCTGAGCTATGTCTTGCTATTGGGATGAGTGGAAAACCCTTCTCCACAGAGTATGGACACATCTTTCATGTCTGTCAAAGGCAAATGACACTGTCCCCCCCAGCCAGCATAACAAGCCAGAGTCAGGAGTGACCAAGAGGCAGCATCCACTGGGATGTCCTCAGCGGCTCTCCCCTCCTGAATGTCCAAGCTGAACCCTCCTTTGACTCACCTGAGTATCTTCTCTGGTGCCTGCTCCCCTGTGACCAGGTCATATCCCCGCTCCAGTGTTGTGTATGGCCACGGCCTGGGAGGCAGAGAAGGAAAGATTAGCTGTGGCATGTCCCTCAGCAGGGAAAGCAGCACAGCCAGTTATGGAGTCATGCAATCAACCAGGTTGGAAAAGACCTTCGAGATCATCAGGTCCAACCATTCCCCAGCACTGCCAAGGCCACCAGTGAAGCATGTCACCCCGGGTCTTTGGTGCCAGTGATGGTGGGGAGGAGAACTGGGCTCCTCACCAGCATGGGAGCCAGGACAGAGCAAACACACCATCACATCTCCACTCACCCTTCGCTGTGTCCCCAGTCACTGCGCACACACAAGTGGCGATGGATGGGGTCCGGGGCATAACCTTCATGGCAGCTGCACTCTCCTACAAGAGAAGAGGGGAAGATGAGACCTCTCAGCCCCAGAGGTAAGTCAGCAACCTGCCCATCTCTGCTTGTTCCCAGCCACTCCTGGTCACTGCCATGGATCCGGAGCACTTTGGACTCTTCTGAAAACCTCCAGGAGATGCACAAAGAAGATGAGACGTGGAAAGCTGCAGGAAACCTGTAGCTCTTCTGAAGGGGGGATACATCCAACCCCTCCTGGCCACATCCCTTCC